TTATTAGTACCTGCATCATTAAGATTATGATAATCACAGAGGAATCACTTTAACTAAGATAGTGTTTAAATTGTTAGCCTCAACAATAATTAGATACTTAACTAGAGCTCTTGACGAGCAGACTGGAGAAATTCAGGCTAGTTTCAGAACTAGACGTGGCTGTATAGACCACATTTTCACACTGCGATAGGTCCTAGAATACAGACTCACATTTACACTGATAAAATGCAGAGTCTTCTGACTATCCTAAGAAACAATGCAAGCATGTTTGAAATGTGGTTTTCCGCTCGAAACGCGAAATGCTGCTCCAAGATTGGATTGCGTTGGCACCTTAACTAGTGACAGGGAGTGAAGTAGTTGAGCGTATCGACTGCTTCGCTTACCTAAGGTGTCTCATCAATCCTGATGGCCTTTGGTCTGACGAAATCTCAGCACGGATACAGAAGGCTCGATTGGCTTTTGCCAACTTGCGTCACATATGAAGTAGGTGAGATATCCATTTGCTAACTGAGTGTACTGCGTATTTGTTCGCTCCGTCCTACTTTACGGCTGTTAAACATGGCCTGTGAGAGTAGAAGACATTCGTAGGTTATTAGTATTCGCATACAGATGTCTTCGAAGCATTGCTAGTATATATTGGGACAGCCGAGTAAACAATGCTGTTGTTAGGAAACAGGTGCTAGGTAAGGATGGCAGGACAATAGATGAAGTAATGGAACTCCATCGTTTGAGGCGGTTGGGACATGTGTTACAAATGCCCGACCACTGACTACCTCGTCGAGCTACGTCTTGCAGTGCAGGAGTGGGTCGGTATAAAGCTAGGTGAAGCCAAAGCAAAACATGTCACAACTTCGTAGAGTAAATGACAAATAGAGTGAATCATGTTAGTTAGTAAATGTAAACTACTAAATTGGGGTCCGCGAGATGATAGTAATCAATGGTTGGACACCTTGTGGGACATGGCTCATAATCGCTTTTAATGGCGAAGGTGCATCTACTCTTTGTGTTCTCTGAAATTTTAATTTTCTGAATTTCTCATCACCTATATCTTACTCTTTCTAAATTTACCTCACTGAATTATACTTCTTAAAGAAAACTTTCGAACCCTAATCTCTCCGATTACTTCTAATAATTTTACTACCTCTACTACTATGGGATTTGAATTTACCATTCCTTCCTTGTGCTAATGTGGTTTAGCAGCCTGAACTGATGGATGTAGGTACCATGTTCTACATTGTAACTAACTGACTGCATCATTAAGAATTATTTGATGATAATAATAATAATAAATGCGTACATTTCTGTGTTTATGCACAACTTATTATCATGATCGATATGCCGCATTCAAGATAATGATAATAATGATGATTGAAATCACAAATACACACTTTCCTTTCTTCTTTTGTACACTTATTCAATGCAACATGTCATTCTATTTCTCTCTTTCTCTCTCTGTTTATGTTAAATTTGTCTTTAGACGAAAGCGCATTCAGATAAAACTATGAATGACAGGATAGTTTAAATTGTTTACAGTAAGTATCACTCACTGCCCTCTTAGTTCCGCTTCAATGTTTAGTTGAAAAATGAAACTAGATAAAACCTCATCTATTCACACTTTTCTGTCTACAGTGAATGATAACTAAGATTTTATTTTTATTATGTAGAAACATAAAACTATGCACTATCGGTTATTATTATTATTATTATGATTACTTTATTTCAGTAGTTTATCTCGTCACATGTGATGATACATAAATCTGTACAATGCCATAAATTTACAATAGATGATGACAGAGACATTTACTGCATGAGTTTGTAACTTTTTTTTGACTTATCAGAGCGATATACATCAGTTCAATGTACCAAGTTTAGAGAGGAATTGAAAAAAATATATATGAAATTTGTAACATAAGAAAAAATTATGCTGTCAGACAGTTTTAGTTGAGAAGTTGATCAGATAAGCGTCACATCGGATCTCTCAATGAATAATAAGTTAAATGTGGACCGATTGAATCCTGAACGAATGTATCCACCAAGAGATTTCCATGTTTTTTTTGACAATACAGTTCATTCAGTTTATTATCAAAAGATCATGAAAAAACATCTTTGAATGTATTATTGTCTACTACTAGTAAAATCAGTTATACTCGTCTCTAGGTATACCTAACACTATTACGAGTTCACCTTCGTCGATAAACGAGAACGAGACAATAAACTAAAGTCCAGGTAGGCTACCCTGATCCATTGGCTAAGGAAAAGTCTTGATGCAGCGTAGAAAGTGTATTCTACAAACACCCAGTCAGCACAAAATGAATCCAAGCACTCAAATGGCGTTTATTAACACTCCATAGAGACGTCCTTGGGATATTTACAAAAGTAGCACACTAAAATGACACAGTAACCAATCACAGCCAAGGATTTTCCTGGTGGGAAATGTGATCTCAAAGTCAACTAACCGGCCTATGAAATAAATCCAAAATAAAGATTTTTATGAAGCGAGTTCCGGGGATCTAATATGCCCAACAAAATCCCACTAACATTATGTACACTGTTGTGTCTATTATCATCATTAAAGAACCTTCAAAAATTGCAACAGTTATTTTTTTTCAACATCGTTTACTTCAGTATTTAAGAGCAGTGATGTTGTGTTTTTTGTAACCTTTTTCTACGAAATCTTCAATACACAGGCATAATTTACATAGACTTACTAGTTATTTTAATATTACTGTTTATTTATCTGAAATAACTATGTTCATGCTCTGATTACATGAGTTTTATAAAATAATGATAAGTGAAGAACCTCCAAAAATTATCAGCAGCTAGTTTTTCAATATCCTTTACTTTTATGTTTTTCGAGCAGTTATATGTTTTTATTGTATCATTCTGACGAATACTTTAACGTAACTAACTCTATGCGCACAATGATAGATAATAAACATACATTTCAAAAATTCCCTTGAACTATTCACCTTTCCAGAAAATAATTTTTTCATAGACTTACTAGTTATTTTTATATCACTGGTATATTTTATTATTTCTCAATTTTTTATATTATTACAATTATCTAGAATAAGTCTGTTTTACGCTCTGATTACATGAGTTTTCTAAAGTATGTTGAAACGCTTTCTTAGGAATGCACATTCTTAATCAATATGGGATAACTAACTGATATATATATATATATATATATATATATATATATATATAGTACTTCAACGCGTTTTTTAAAATTTTTTATAATCCTTAAAATGTCCTTATACATCGATTAATATCAACTCAGAATCAAGTAAAATTAAACGACTGATATATGCGCAAGATTTTAGTGAATATCAAAGACTCCTTGATAAAAGTTTTTATTAATGAATTATCCTTTATTTTTGTATTTGAGAGGAACTTTGGTAAGATCTACATGAGGAAAACTAGCAAGTGCCATAGTTCTATCAACATGAGGAACTAATGTAATGTTTAATAACCTCAATCACAGAAAATGAAGTTCTTTTTGCTCAAACATTTTTTGGTTGAGTCAACTCCGATAAGTTCATTCACTTTTTTGATCAATTGATTGAAAAATGCAATCAAAAATCAATTTTTAAGAATTTTTTTTATTCTTGACAATGCAAGGATCCATCATTCCAATATTACGAAAAACGTTTTTTGGTGAAAAGGGAGTAAAGGTTATGTTTTTATCCCCTTATAGTTATATGCTTAATCCAATTTCCATTTGCATTTTCAAAAATTAAATCCATTGTAAGAAGATCACTGGCGAGCGAATTTAATGAATCATTTACAAATCTTATATATTAAATTCTGTAAATCAATCAACCACAAATGATTTACAAGGTTATTTCGAGGCATTATACATCGCAATTGTTTAAAAGCGATTGCTAAAGAAGATTTTAATTAAAAAAAATAGTATTCTTATATTTTTTTAAAAACATTTTATAAAACGCTGTGTTCTGACGTTAGCATAAAACTACTCCTAATTATATTTGAACAGAGAAATGGGAAGACATATTTTGTGAGATAGTACCATTTCGTGATTTCTCGTCAGTCACATACAAGCAACATGTTATTTGTGTAAATACAGTTTTGAAGATAAGATCAAAATTTCTAATTTAGCATGACATTCACTCACTAGAACCACGATGGTAAACAAAAGTCAACGTACAGTTGTTTTTGAACACATCAAGTTGGACTTTTCCAACCAATCAAGATAGCCTCGAGTAGTTTCAGTGTGTGTGGGTTTTCATTACATGTCACAACTCCTAATTACATGTTCTATCTATGCTAATGGGAATACGAAATGGTCGATTCATATTTTATTTAAGCGTCAAACGATCAATACAACGTCAGATTATTCAACATTATGTATGCATATATTTTTATATTTTGCCTATTGACTGTAAATCAGATTATTTCCATTTTCACATCGATTATACAAGTGACTAGAAGTGAAGTTCGCCAATTGACACAGACTAATTACTGTTACGTATGCACGTAAA